TCGGGCGATGAAAATTTAATTTCTGATCCGAATTTTTGTTTGAGGTAGAGACTCTCTAATTATGTGAGGAAAGCAAAGAGTTAAAACGTCTGCTTGCGTTTCCCCCATGTGAATCACTCACCGAAACCCCACCTGAAATACTTGCAGTAAAATTATAATGCATTCACTTAGTCACACAATACTGAGTCAACAGGAGTAGCGCAAGGAGAGAGTTGCGGGTGTCGTGCAATTACCTAACGCTTTATTAGTGTTTTATCTTAATGAAAGCGTCATGAAAGCTGTTTTTCGTAAATTCGGTCTAAAATCGGCTAAATGGACTTGAGGGGAAACGCTATTTGCAAGTGTGTTCAAGATAAGGTTACTGTTTAACCAGTGACTAACGTGTGAAAGCAGATGCGTCCAGGGGAGCTTAAAACGAAATTAACTTTTACCTAGAGAGTTGGAAATAAAAAAGTAATCTCAACCGTGTTTGTAATACAATATTGATAACTCGATAACTTGGCCACGGTTTCCTGATCGGTTCGAAAGCTCGCCTATTGTAGGTCGTTAGATTACATGTCTGAGAAGCCGGATTAGGGTTGCGGGGTTGGTAACCCTGAGAAACACACGAGCTCACGCCTGCTTTCGGCCTCGCTATAATTGGATGACGGACGTCTTTTTCCTAAGACTATATCGAGTGTCATTATTAGGAACCTTATATCGTATTATCGTGATAATCAAATTATTGGAATTTTTCGTGGCTCCCTGATACAGCATTACTGCTTTAATAAAAAATACTAGCGGAATTAAAACTCAATGTAGTGGACACTTTTGTGCATTTTACAATTTTAATTGTCAGTTTCTTTACGTTCGAAAGATCGACTTTTCTTCTCGGAAAAATAAATGGGTTTTTTTGAATTTCTGGTCGAAATAAAAGTTGAGCTGAAAGTTGAACATATTTTTTAAAGCTTGGCAATACTTACCTGCTTGTGTATTTAAACTAACAACTCTAGAAGAAAATCAAGGCACATTTATTATTTTTTTTCTAATCTTGTTTGCTTGTATTTTGATTATTTTCTAAACATGATTTGGTTAAAAACAGCAAGCAAAGGCTTGCACAATAAAGATTGCGAAACAAACTGAATAACATATTTTTTCTAAGCCGTTATGCAGACTCATCTTGTGGTGGTACCGCCAAGTGTGCCACTTGGTCCCATCTTGTTTGCTTTCCAAACACTAAACAAGTTATTCTTATGAATCCTGTCAGTGTTCTCTCATTTAATCTGTTTATGATGACCATAAAGCGTTTCTTTAATCGTTTGGCATTTTAAAGCAATGCGAATAAAATCGTAACAAGTTGAATGATGCAGAGCCCATGCTTCGATCGATGCTTGGAAGTGCGTGTTTTTTCAGTGCACACGCTCTTTATAATTTATAGGTTATTTGAGAGAGCTTGTTTGGATCCCCTCGGGCTTCATCAGTGCTTAAGTTTTATAATGGTTTCTTGAATGATGCATAGCGATGCGCTCACCCATCGACGCCATGCTGGAAGCCGCTATTTTCGGAATTATTAAAATTTCATGGCGAATTCAACGGCTTCATTTCATTTAATTAATACGATGGTGCATCTTGACGGCTTCCTGGCACTTTCTTCGTTCGAGTGCAGACTGTTCCTGGCCAGATTAACGTTTTAATTCCTGTCGTTTAGTGTGTTTTCTTATGCAAACGAATTTTAATATTTCATTAACGAAATTCTTCCGGAACTTGGGCATGAATTATTCAGCGACCATTATAAATGGGTAAATTGCATTTTTATAAATCTTTCCTTCACCATTCATTAATCCGGGGCTTCATTTAACACATAGCTGTCCTTACGGAAAATCTCCGGCTGTCTGTTCGACATTCTTTGGCTCTTGCAATATTTAAGTCCAGTCTGGAAGTTCTTTAATAATACACTAGGGAAAGACTTGCAGTAATATCAAGGCATAAATCCTCCACTCGCTGTTATATGTAAATTTAAACAAGTGCTCTGAATTATTTAACTTAACCCACATATACACATACATAAGGACGAACCGGGATGAAACGGGACTCCGGGATTATCCTAGTGGAAATATATGGGTGTTTGTTTTCGAACCACATTCTGGAAAATTATATGCAAGCTCCCGTTCTGTTATTGTTTCGGCTTGGATCTGCATTTCTGCAAAATTACACGATTGACCTGTTTACGTCGAACGACTTTGATTTCTTAAATTTTACAACGCTGAAACTTCAATTTCGCAACATCAAGTCAATAGAAATAAAGATAGATCCGCGGGCTGAAAAAACTCACCAACCTATAAAAGGACGAAATGCATCCACATAATTATCTTAATCGAAATGGAAATCTTGAAACATTTTATGGATTTGTTAATTTAAAAAGTGTTGTAGTAATCTTGTTTTACCGAAAAAAGCGTCATTAGAATAAGTTAATCAAGTTCTTGTTAGGGTTTTTTCAATTTTATTGTTATTGAAAGTACGATTAAATCTAGAAATAAAAAAGTTTCTTTTATGTCTTATTAGGTGCTGCTGACAGCAGTTTAATAAAGAAATAAAGATTTTAATGAGAATGTTAAGTCGTAGGTACTGATGTTTTAATTAAGTTTCTTTAAACTGTTGCACCTGGTTACTAAATATTTATTAAATTTTTAGAAGAACTGTGAAATTATTCTTGAATTGTGAGCATTTGTTTGGAATTGAACAAATACGTCCAATTAAATTTTGTTTGGGGAATTAGTTCTGAATTTTCGCCCTAATACGTTGATTTCCCTGAAGACAAATCTTTGGTTGCTTCACAAATAATAACGTCATTACGTGGAAATAACAAGAGATTATACGAAACTTTGAAACACCTGCTATATTGTTAATTTTTACTTGTACTTAATTAGTAAAATTTTTAACCACCCACACGTCTGGTTCGTTTGCATCCTATTAATCTTGTCCTCTTTTTTTATTTCTTTAGATTTTCTTTTTTCGCTCGGTGTCGCTGAAAGCTCTCACCTTACATAATTAGCAGTCGGTTCTTTATTACACTTGTGGTGTGAATTGATCGTTATTTCAGTCTGAGAGCTTCCATCTGGCATGAAATTTACGTAAAATTGGCCTACTGCCCAGCCTATCGATGCGCTTCTCCGAAAGTACAATCTCACGAAACCGTTTTAAACATCTTCCCGGAAATTGTTTCTAAAACAATGAAAGTCACGGCGTGTTGTACAAGCAACAGTGCACATCGTCGATTATGTTTCAAAGATGTCGAGCATCGATTGTGTTCAAACTGTACGCTTTGCGAAGAGTAAACGCACATTGAATTATTACTTGTCATGAACTCATTCAGTAGCTACCTGTGCCATAACGGACTTATACAACGATATGTTGGTCGGATAAATGTGTTCGCATTCGTATCCCTCCACGTACAATGGCTCAGGGTATCATCCGATATAAATTCCGGTGTCTGCGATCGAACGCAAATATGCGGCCCTTTATGCAGATTACTGTGATTGTTCCGGGTTTTTGCCCGGATTAATCATATTTTATGGACGGGAGAAGAACCCAAGAAACACGTTCTGCAAACGTGGGGTTCGCAACGGAACAGGTGGCCGATAAACACCTACATCGATCAGAATAGACGAACTAAGAAAGTAGCAAATAAAACACTGTCGAATGTTGACAGTAATAGTGATTTGTTAATAGTTGGTAGTCACTATTTCATAACTAGTTTATTAGTTGGTTAGTATAAAGTTAGCTTTAAACCTTGCGTTTTAGGGTACAACTATCGAACGTTGATGATTATTTTGTGATGTGTTATTTTACACAAATATTTGTTGTTGTTTCAATTTTTGTATTTAAAAATTTTTATTCATAATTTTATTTATCGTAATCCACTAGTTCTGACAATTTTTTAAATTTAGTCATCACTCTCTGGAACAGTAGATCTATTTGAATTTAAATTCAATAGTATGAAATGAAACCTTTACATGGAATATAAATTTATAAATGTGTTTGCGTTTTTTCCAAAAGTGCCAATTTTGTCATAAATATTTAGATCAAAGCCCCGATATCCTGGCGCTAATTTCTCTTTTCGTAATGGGCGGCTATAGAATCCGCGCAGCACTCTAATTTGCCTTTTTCTATTCGTCTCTTCCGTGAATGGGATTCTTTTTTATCCGAAAGTAAACAAGCTCTCTGTTGAAGTTTGTATGTTTTCAATTCGCGTATCAAAAGCCGTCCAATTTGCAAATGGTAAGTTACACATTTATCATATGTTAGAAGCGAAAAGCTGGCGGCAATTCGCCGTTGACACCGTCGAACTTGTTTCTTTCTCTCCGAAAATACATTTCAAAGGATTCGAACGTTGGAAGCGTGAACGTTCGCCGTAAAGACGTGTTGAATACCTCGGCACGGATCTCTTCTGTTCTATTGTACACTTTTGTTTTCGCTCCCCCATTTTTATTTATATGCGCACATGCCTCGACAATAAAATAAATTACACGAGTTTTGCCCCATTCTCAGAATGCACACCGCGATACTAATTAACGCCCGTCATTGTTTAAACAAAGCTTGATGAATGACCGAGGAAAAATACAAGGACCAGATCGAAACCAAGACATTCTACAAGCCTCGCACCTGTACTCGGGTCGCGGACTTTTTGCTTTTTGAACGTTCGTCACTCTTTCATCCCGATTAACCTATTTCGGATGAATACTTGGAGACGGGCCAAGCCGTGCCAAGCTGATACGTCAATTTAAAATTTTTCCCGCTTATAAAGTCCCCTAAGTGCGTTCTTATGTCGATCGATTCGGCTCTATCACGGCACTAAGACCTAAACACAGACAACACGACCTCGATAATATCGCGATTTAATCGAGATTAAGCTTGCCCAACGATCATCTAAAAACACAATCAAGTTTTATGACGGTTTAAAATTATATCGACTAGGAAAAGATTGATTCTTGTTTCAAACTACATTAACTTTTTGTCTCCAGACATGAAAAAGACGTTTGAGGAAAACCCCATGTCTACAAGAGTGGAAATGGGTCACCAAACGGAACTCCGATGTGTTCCACCAGTGGGGGTGCCACCTCCAAGGATATACTGGCTTCAAGGGGCCCAGCCATTGCAACCAGACACTTCGGTTTTGGTATCCACAGAAGGGCATCTTCTCATAGGCGAAGCCCGAGCTCAAGATACTAACAATTATACTTGCGTTGCTGAAAATATAGCCGCGAAGAGGATGGCGCCACCGGCAGAAGTCATTGTTTATGGTAAAATTTTGTTTCTCGAGTTTTGCTTAGGCTGAATTGAAAAAGTTTTTCGATCATCAATTTTTGAACTGGACTTAGCTGAAGTTTTTATGTTCGGGTTTAATGGGGCGATTAAATCGCACAGTTTACTGGTACTTATCAATGTCTTAAAGAGATCTCGCAACTCGGAGGTAATTTACGGTATTCCCTTGCGAGGATTATTTTATGATTAATTATTTAAGTATTGCTGTTTTATGATCCGTACGTTCCCAAGGACTTAATTTAAGTGATTGCGCCTTTACAACGAGCTTGGGATAGTAAACGTTACGACATACCCAGGATCTTTATTTAAAAAAGGATCACTTTTGTGATTAGAGAAAGACAGTAATAGGGCAGTAATAAGGCGCTTATCGTTTATAGAATTTGCAAAATGTGGTAGAATGTGGAGTAATTCGGTTTGCTAGACGCTTTGTAATGTCACGTTTGGCCCAACACAAAGCGAATTAAATTAAAAATACCACACATTCTAAGAGAAATAATGACAGAACCGGATATTTATTTGCACACATTAAATTGAATTACTATATGAGTGGGGGGTCCATTCTCCCAATCTATAGTTTTTGTTCGAAAAAGCTAATTAAAACCCAAAATATTTTCCATCGTCTGACCGAAATAAATGCCATCGTGTCAACAACACAAAGCTTCTCCTAATCTCACGATTTATCGAAATAATAAAAGCACAACGACGTGCCACCGAGCGATAGCTTTTCTAACCCCTGTTTATTTTTAAACTGATTTCGTCGAGGCATAAAACAAGAAGGCCCACTTCTAGATCCTTCACTAGATAGTGTCCCTATTTCCCAAATCTGACATAAACCAACCTGAAACATCCACTCGATTTTTTCCTCAAGTGCCACCTGTTGATTTAAATGTGAATTCGATGTAGCTGAACCGAAAAATGACTCGTAGAAAACAAGGTGTTCAGAAGAACAATGTTTATCTTGAAAACGGATCGAGTAACATTAGCTTATAAAATTTTATTAGTGGGTCTTATATTTGAATTGACGAGGAGTCGAAGAGGTTAATTGGTTTTGACACAAAACGATGCGGTGTCATATTTAACGACAAATTATGATTTTATGGCTTCATCTGGGGCTCATTTTAGCTTCCAGTTTCGGTTTAATGAGTTTTTTCTTGGATATTTTAATTCGGATGGGTTGGAATTTTGATTTCTAATTTACGCTAGCGTGTCAGTAGATGAATTATGGAAGAACATATGAAACGATTTTTGTCGTGATGATCCATCAGACTTGTCTAAATCTGGGCGTCAAATTACACCGCTGTTGGTTTCCACATTAGCGTGAACAAACAGAACGAATCTAAACCTGGCGAGTAGTCGTTGAATAATTTATCTAATTAGTACGAAACGTTGTAAATCACTTTCCCATGGCCATCATTGAATTTTAATTGCATGTTAGCTAATTAACCCGTGTCAGATTTTTCGTGGCCTGACTGAAACAAAGTCCGAGTTCACGAGTCCGTATCACAAAATAAATTATACTTAAATTGATTCTCATGCTTGGGAGAATTAATTTCGTTTAACACAAGTCATGTTGACTGTTTAAAACCACCCAACATTAATCAGCCTCGTCTTTATCTATGAATAATTTATCTCGGGAAAAAAGCCCCTCCACTAGTTTGAAGTTGTCACTTTTCACATTTGTTTTAATGAAGCTGTCATAAATTATCAAAATGTTCAGTTGGTTGAATCAAAAACCGGAGGTCGTACACGAATGTTACGAGAACGTAGCCGAGGGTCTGAAAAGTATCTACAAGAACAAGATGCTGCCCTTAGAACAGCACTACTTTTTCGAGGAGTTCCATTCGCCGCCCCTCAACGATCCGGATTTTGAGTCTAAACCGCTAATCTTGCTCGTGGGTCAATATTCCACCGGTAAAACGACGTTTATAAAATATCTCCTAGAGAGAGATTTCCCCGGGATGAGAATAGGGCCGGAACCAACAACCGACAGATTTATAGCCGTGATGTATGGCGAGAAAGAAGGTGTAATACCGGGGAATGCCCTTGTCGTCGACCCCAAGAAACAATTCCGGCCTCTCTCGGTCTTCGGAAATTCTTTCCTAAACAGATTTCAGTGCTCGCTCGTGAAATCTCCCGTGCTCAAAGGGATGTCTATTATTGATACTCCGGGGATCCTCGCAGGTAAGTCCTGAAAAATTCATGCGGTTTTTCATGACGTCCTCCAGGTGAGAAGCAACGTATCGATCGCGGGTACGACTTTACCGGAGTTTTGGAATGGTTCGCTGAACGAGTCGACCGGATTATCCTACTTTTTGATGCCCACAAATTGGATATTTCGGACGAATTCCGACGCTCCATCGAGGCACTTCGAGGACACGACGACAAGATCCGGATAGTTCTCAACAAAGCGGACATGATCGACCATCAGCAGCTGATGAGAGTTTACGGTGCCTTGATGTGGTCGTTAGGCAAAGTGCTGCAGATGCCGGAAGTCGTCCGAGTGTACATCGGAACGTTTTGGGACCAGCCCTTGCGATACGACGTCAATAGACGGCTCTTCGAAGACGAGGCCCAAGACCTATTCACAGACTTACAAAGTCTACCCAAGAATTCCGCCCTTCGCAAACTCAATGATCTCATCAAAAGGGCCCGTCTGGCCAAAGTACACGCCTACATTATCGCCGAGCTCCGCAAGGAAATGCCCAACGTTTTCGGTAAAGATAACAAGAAGAAGGAACTCATCAAGAATCTGCACGAGATTTATATCAAGATCCAAAAAGAGCACAACATTTCAGCCGGAGATTTCCCAGACCTTCAGAAAATGAGAGAAGCGCTGGCACGACATGACTTTACCAAGTTTCATTCGCTCAAACCGAAGCTTTTAGACGTGGTGGATCAAATGTTGAGCGACGACATTGCCCAACTAATGTCAATGATTTCGCACGAAGTGAATGAAATCAACAAAAGCGATGTAACAGGAGGAGCGTTTGAAAATATAGGTGATCACAGTTCACCCTTTGGTTACAAGAGGGGCGAAGGTGTTAATGCTGGAATGGGCGAACCCGATTGGATTGTTAACAAGGAAAAAGCGACTTTTGACGCGATTTTTGACCAACTCTCGCCTAATGGCACTAAAATATCAGGAGCGACAGCTAAAGTCGAACTTGTCAAGTCAAAATTACCAAATTCTGTTTTGTCAAAAATTTGGAAATTGGCTGATGTTGATAAAGACGGTTTCTTAGATCGTGACGAGTTTGCCTTAGCCATGCATTTGATTAATGTGAAAGTGGAAGGTAACGATTTGCCAGATGTCTTGCCTTTGCATCTAAAGCCACCACTAAAAAAAACGTATTCGTGATAGTGATATAATTGTATTAAGTGTTTTATGACTAAATGAAATTTATTTGAAAACTATATTGCATGCATATTTTTTAATTAATACGTCGGCATGGTTTTTATGACTTTATAGCGTGGTTATGACGGATTTTATAACTCATCTAGTGACCGCAGCACCGACTTAATAATGGTTTTTGCGTTTTACTACTAATTTTCCAATTTGCAACCTCGTAAAGGGAGTAGAGGGGAAATTGCATTTCGATAATAAATTTCATAATTTAAACAATTCGAATTTATTATCTACTATCTGATAACAACTGTGTTTGCGTTGGTGGATTGCTAGGTTGGTTACAATAATAAAATTACTGGTAGCAGATTTATGTATGAATACAAACAGGAATTTCAAACGTTCCAAGTGTACCTACAATGATTAGTTATGTGATTTGGTCGAGATTTGAATTAAAATTATCGATTGTGGCTATAAATAAACAAACAGATGCAAGAAATAATTTCTCCGTGTGTGTCATATTTGTAGTGTCGAGTTTTCTGAATTATTTTTTGATAAATTGTGAGTTCCTCAGGGGTCACATCGTGGTCCACTTTTGTTGTAAATGTAAAAAACACATCTAGATTTGGCGTAAAACATTAATTGAAACAAATCACTTGGGGCTGCAAACTCGAGTGGACAGTTTAGGTTGTGAGTATCGGTTCTTTTAGCCCGCCTGAGGCCTTGCTAAATCAATTAAACCAAAAAACGAGGCTTTTGTCCTAATTGTATCCGTATTACGAGAGTAATGTCTTTTTGTTTGGATTAGTTCGGAATTTCTGTTGATCATTAAAATAACCAGACACTGTAATAAAATCAAATCGAAAGTCGTCCATCGATCATGGAGGCATTCCAGTGGAGTTAATCTTGTGGGACCGTTGAAGTCGTCATTCAACTACCGTTTGCATGGAGGATCGGTCAAGACAGGTGCTCGTTGCAAACGGTGCATTAGGCCTGTATCACTCGCGCAATAAATTATCTCTGACATGTTTTGGAACACCTGGGGGAGATATGGACAGGTGAAATTTAAAACCGCGCCAGTTATTATTAAACACGAGAAATAGCCTTAAACAAACAGAATTATTTGTGGATAAAATCGTAGATGTGTGGTCACAAAACGTGCGGTGTTGATTTTCTTTTCGTCACATTTGTGTTATTTTAGTTTCGACATACATTTAAGATTAACATGGGAATGGGTAAATATTTGGACGCATTTATCGGCGTAAACTTCAATGGGATTCTTCTCACCGATGTCCCTACGTTTCATCTCAGCGAATCTGTTTATTTTGACGAATCTCATCTCAATTTGCATAAGCAAATTCGCACGATATTTGCACGAAGGTGCTCAAACACCGGATTACCTAATAGTGGCGCAAATATTACTTCAGCTATTTTTACAAATAATTAGTTTCGGAAGCTTCGAATCTTCTCACTGAAGCAAGACTGGATATTTTAAGTTTTAAGTTCAGACGCATTAACACAAGTTTCATTCACTCACTTTAGACAAATTAAGATTGGAGCTGGCAAACAAATGTGACTGCAATTACTCACGATGTTTAGCTTTAGGATAATTTATTCTGTGTCCTTTGATCGTACGTATTTATAACGATCACGAAATTAGAAGAACAATCAAGGCCAACAAAAGTACAGGTTTTTGTGTCAAAAACACAGTGACTTACTTTGATAACTCGCCGTTGTGACAATGCGATGAACGTTAGTTCTGAACAGTCAAGTGCTATTCAAAATAGATCTAGGTCTAGAGCTTATAACGTGAATAAGCATAGATTCAGCATCACAAATTCAAAAGTCTATTCAATGCTATTCATAATATTGTATTAGGAATTTTGATTGTTGGTTGAATTCATGAGGTGCGCTCAACAAGACGATCTGGAATGATGATGGCAGGAAAATGTTCGGAATCTAGGCCAGTTTTATGTGAAATATTTATTTTTGCACTAGATTTATTCATGAAATTTTCTAGTGACATGGCAAAGTAACGAGAACTCGGATTTCAACTGCATTATTTTGAATCTAAGGTTATAGATTATGTGCAAAAAGATTTTTATACAAAAAAAAACACATTAATTTTAATTTAATTTTATTATTTCAAATTGATGTAAAAAATTAATTTTGAATTTTTTTTTTATTGGTGCTAAATTAAAGTTTTTAAAGTAAAAAATATTTCTAGTAGCAAAGGAAACTTCACACAAGGAACTTTTAAAACACATTTAAACGAGTAAGAATTTTGAACAAGCTGAAATAATCAAGAAGCTGTCTAATTTAAAATTTAAAATCCGTTTATAATTATTCATACAAAACTACCAGGCGATCTAAAGCAATTGAGCACATCATTTATTTTGTTATCACGGCTCAGCGACACTGCATTTTGTTAGAACGATTTAAATCAATGTCAAATTAAAATTTCAAAAGAAGAATGAATATGTAAATCTGAAGTTTGGTAAAAACAAGGTCTTCTCAAAGTAGTCTTCATGACTATGAATTCGTGTGTTGCGAAACTCGGGCCAATATTTGTAACCCCATGTTGTGTCTCGGCCACACACACCTACGCACCGTAAAATACAAAAGGATAATAAATAAATACGACCAGGTCATTAAATATAAATACCCCGACAAGCATGCTTCCTTTTTTTAAACCGCCCGTTAAATATGCCTGTCATAACATTCTGGATGTTTTTTTCTCCCTCAAAAACAGCGGGGGTTTATGGTAGACCATTGTCTTACAACGTGGAAAGAATTTCAACTCTTTTAGTCCCGTGTTGAAGCGATGTAAATCTTGCTCGATCCTAACGTATTCAAAGATGAAAATGACACGTGAGGTGGCGGTAAAGGCGCGACGTGTGCCCTCATTACCCCTGAACTTGATGTATTGAAGAAAGAGTTGAGAGTTTGTTTTTATTAAGAAAGTTTCCGGGGGACAAGTTAAAGTTGACGGGAATGATAAATGATCGAGACGTTCGGTTTAGAACAAGTTGTCGATTTAGGAGATTTGAAAAAAAATTACTTGTCTTGTCGATGGTGTCACTGATAGGGGGCTTTGAATTTGAAGATGCATATGGGAACAGTTGGGTTATTATTGTTATTAAAACAGTAAAGTACTGATATTTACATAAAAACAAGAAACTAAATGGATTAGGAGTTTAATCTCGAGATCAAAAGAAGTCGCACTGCAGCATTCCCTATTTTGAGATGCAAGCAGTGGAAATTCTTATGTAAACTTGGCGATCGTTATCAAAATATTTCACGTTTTCTAAAAACCAACGGAATACCAGTAAACGGCCACAGTAAACTCTAGTTATTTGGTTTTAATTAAGTGCCCGATCCGCATCAAGTCTCCCGATTGTTTTCGAACTTTAATTAATAAAACTGTTTTCAAGGAAATTTAAAGGTTTTTAGAGACGGAAATCGGTAATTTTATAAAGTCTAATCCGATCTGCCTAAAGATATGTCTTTGTGTTGCCACAAAGACAGTAAAATTAATTTCGAATCCTTTGAATTAATTTTGTCCGATGACGGGATGATAAATTCTAAAATAATTTCAAGACAAAGAAACCATAGATGTTCATTACTCGAAAGTCGTTATCTCCAAATTACGAAAACACATAAAACAATTCCACAATGGAAAAAGTTGCTTAGTTTAGTAAAACACATTTAAAGTTTCTACGAAACAACTGACAAATACAAAGAATGATGATGGAAAAAAGTACCAGTTTAGAAGTTTAATTCAGCGGCTTAGTCTTGCTTTGATTTCGGGATCTTTAAAAGCCGCTGTAGCTGAAATGGGATTGCGCTTTATATCGTTCTCTTCAGGAAATAATCCGACGTAAGCATAATAGGACGTGGATCACCGTTAGCTCAAATACATATTTCAGGATTGGTCGTCTGACAGATTAGTCAAATCTGCAGTTTCATCAATTAAATCGGACGTTCAAATTAAACCGAAATTACTTCTTTTTATTTTCAGTAAATGGGGGTTGGTCGCCCTGGTCCCCCTGGACCGAATGTCGGTGTCCCGGAGCAACCCTGTCGTCGGGCAAGATGAGCACTCGCACCTGCACTCACCCTCCTCCTAGCAACGGCGGCCTTCCGTGTCAAGGCTTGAGCGTTCGCAAGACCAAGGATTGTATTACCTGCCCACAAGGTATAAATTCAAAGCAGATCGGATTACTCTTTCTATTTCTATGCACTTCCTGCTTTGTTTAATTTGCCCGAATTGCTAACTAACCGCTTGTCCTTTCCTGCTTCTATCGTAGAAGAGCTGGTGTTGGATAACGCTTACGACTACGGCAGTTACGATAACAGTTACGGTAATTTTTCAGAAATTTTTGATTTGGAAATGGGGAGTAATATAGGTGTTTTTTTTAATGCTTTTAGTGGAACCGGCGAGGTGGTCGCAATGGTCGGAATGGTCTCACTGCAATTCGGATTGTTTAAAGACGAGACGAAGGCAGTGTATTCTGGGAAATGGGCAAGGAAGGAGAACTTGTAACGGGAAGGACACCCAGACGACTTCGTGCAGTTCAGAGCAGTGCAGATCTATGGAACTCAGTAGAGTTAGAGAAGGTAAGTGTTGAGAATTTTTTTTTGTTGGTCGAAGGTCAGTAAGACGAGTAGAGTAGTCGATGAGTAAATTGTTTATGATTCTTTGACCAACGGAACAATGGAGTTGTAAAAATAATATTGTATACATGCGCACGTAAAAGCCGTCTGACTTTCACGTCTCTTTGGTTTATGATTAACATTCAATCGATCAAACTGTTGTTAAATCGGACAGTTCCTATTTTATTTCAAATGTTTTAATGTTTACATTATAAATTAAAAAAATATTGTGGATACTCATGTTTTGAGATTTTAATGTACAACATCAACATTATCAAATATATTCTTAATAAAGAGGTTTTCTGAAATGAAATTAAAAAATTTTGATATACAAACTAAAGTCCTGAGTATTTTAACTCGTTTTTTTGGGGTTTTTTAAGTGGCCGATGTGTGTGGCTTCTGCTTTTTAAAATTTCACTCATGTCTCAGCTGTCTTTTGCATTTTAATTTATATGGCGCCCTTCCCGGTGAGTTCTGATAAGTAATTAGACAATTTCAAGTGGTAATTGGCACGTCAAGCAGAAGTTTATCCGTTGTTTACATTTGAGCCGTTTGAAGGCTCCGACTTGAGGAATCCTTTGATTATTTGTTAAATAGAAACACGTTTTATACATCTGATCTTGCATGAGAACGGCGTATTTAAAGCCGCTTTAATGAAGCAAACTTTCAGTAAGAACGATTTCAGTTTTCAGCGTCCGCTTACATGCGTAGCGGGCATTTTAATTAGTGTTTGGCGAGTTTGGAGTAGTGCATTTGGCACGGTTTCAGCCCTTTCGCTGTTTCACCACTTCAGGTGGATTATGAACTGATGAAATGATTTAGAATACTCGACGAATAAAATTAATATGGACTTAAGCCGGGAATGATGAAATTTTTAATAAAAGTCGAGATTTGATGATAAAAACTTCCTAAATGTAACCAGAAATAAAACACGAGTACCTTCGCTGATGGCGGAAGCTGCGAGAGACTGCAGACACAGGAAACACAGGGGCTGTCTTCTGATTATTTATTATTATGGCGTTTATTGTGAGGGAACTCATTGTGTTCCCTAATTCTCCTTCTTTTTTATTACTTTTTTATTACGCGCCTTTTGTACACAGCTAAAACCTTTTAATAACCGATCTCTTATTACATTACACGACTGTAAATAATTATTCGTTGGATCGGTTATTAAATTCAGACATTGTCCAAATCTTGAAACATTTTCAAACAATATCAAGCGAGACTGCAGTCTTACTTTCAGGTCAGATTTATAAAATTTTAATTTCAAATATTAAGCAGAAATTTAATTGGATTTAGTCGGAATAGATTTTAGTGGGATTTTAATTTAATTTGCTTCCGTTTCCGGAGTTTCAAATAAAAATAAATAATCTCAGAGAATATTGGAATGTCTAAAGCTTTACAGAAAAACAAACAATTCTACCATATGTTTGGGTAGAAAAATAATTTATTTTTTGACTAAAATATGACGAGAAATACTTGTTTGCCAATGTAGATTTGGGCATTTTTACATAAAGTGTCTCGTTACTCACCCCAAAAATTCATATAAAATGCCAAGAGCAAAGCTAGCAAAATAATTTATCACGGTAATAGTTACGTGACATGTTCAAATATTAAAACAAAACGAATTCGGAACGGAAGTGGGAAAATAAGTCAGTCTGAATATGACATCTTGAAGATATTTTTGCTATATCAAGGTGTTATCGTCACGCTAAATATGAAAGACTCGATCTTAATATTCGTTTGTTATTCCTTACGTCCATAATGAAAACAGCACTGTCTCTGATGTCTTTCCAAATTGACTTAAATGTTACTGGAGCGATGCCCGTGCCCTTGTGAAAACAACACATGTTGAGAAGTTACAATAACAAGTCGGACGTCTTTCGCTAACTTTAAATAAATAATTGAAGGAAATTTTATCAAGATTGTGGTAAAACGTCCTGGAGCAAGTCCAAAAGACGTACTTGCAAGGATATTCCAGACAAGGTGGACTTTTTTGTTTGATAGTTTCCTTCCGAAAGGCTCTTATCAAGATTAAAACCGTACAAATGAGGCGCTGTTGCGGAAAAAAATATATTTATATAGTGAGGGCTAATATCTTGCAGGAGCTGCGGGTTAGATGAGAAACTAATTTATTCATGCCCTGAGGTTTGACTCTATATTTCGCTTTTTATATTTATAGGAGTATTTAGCATATGATCTTGCGCTTGCTTACGACCTACTTTACGTTTATAACTTTGGCGAAATAATATGGGGGTATTCAGACTATTTTTCATCAACAGCTGCCAGAAACATAAAAAGAAAATAACATTGTTTAGACACCACTGGTACCTGCAGGATGACTGAGTTAAAATGCAATTTACTGACTTATTTATTTATTTGTATCAGACACATAATTGTTTTTCCTTTTTAGTTATTTTTTATCTCCCACCTGCGACGTAAACTATTAAATATTAAAAAAAAATGACTCAAAACAAATAATGTTCTGTATGTATTTTTTTTATTATTGACTGGTTTAACAATTATAAATTACAATGAATTTATTTTATAACATTTGGTCCCTATTACACAATCTAATTTTAGATTTTGAAATTTTATTACCCTTTTATGGTGTAAAAATAATGAAAAATAGCCGCTAGGTGTGAATTAATAATAAAATTGTAATTGCAGAGTGCAGGAGGTCAATTTATTTAATATGATAGCTTTAAGCAACCAATATATCAAAACAAATAACAAGTTTATAACAAATGATGTACTAGTAAAGTAGTGGCAAATTTCTTCGCAGACATTTTGACTAGTATCCCCGCTTCTTCTTTCTTGTGTTCAAGGCTACAAGTAATAACTTCATAAGCCGTGTGGAATTATATGCATATTGCGTATTAAGGGAGGCCGAATTTATCAAAAGAAAATTTGCATATTCTGGCTGCGTACAAAAATGGAACATTTGCTCGGCTTTGTAACACCCAACGTCTCATATGTTTCAACGTAATTTTCCCTCTGATTATACCTGTTGTTGTACATTCTTACATATTGCGGCTTTCATGTAATTAGTTTCGGGGGGTGCGAGATTGGGGGTGTGATATCACCAAGCGTTTGAAACCCTGCAATTGATGTGAAAATGATTGACTAATATACAATTACATCATCATTGACTTAAAGGCATTTATCAGAATTCCCGGGGCGTGAGCAGGGAGCACGCGTAGGAATTTCGTTAAGATTTAAATAAAGCTCCCTGTTGAAGGGTGAGGTCGGCGGCTTTTGTCGGAGGGAAGCAGCAAGAGCTGGAATATTTCCATATGTGACAAGGGTGAATACTTACGGAATACCATTACATTTCTATACGCGAATATATGACAGGATAAAACGATATATGGCTGCCACAGCTCAGAATAGAGAGCTTCTTAAGCTCACCTTCGCTTGTCTTCTGAAGTATAATAAGACGCGAGTGCTTTATGCGACTTGTAATTTAACAACTTATTAATCGGAGGCAAATTGTTGACGGGAATAATGCAAATATCCTTGATTTAACTCGCACAATAGTACAGCTTGAGTGGAGAGTCTTAGAACATGTTAGTTGTTGCGAAATTGCAGAATAAAGAGCCCTTGTTGTCCTCCAGACAACTTCAATTATAAATGCACCCTCTAACTTCCCCGCGACTCTTTGCCATCCCTCTTTGTGACGATTTTGCGACGTGTCCAACTCAACTGAAACCAATTTGCAAGCGATAATTGGTTCGCTAATATTTTTCCCTTAACCTGTCAAAGACCACACTCCAAAAGAGAAAATTTTGATATGAACTACGGCGTCAAGATTTTTTTGAAAAATTCCTTTTTGTTTTAACTCTTATAACTTATAACTGAGAAATCTGTAAATTAGATAGAGAAACAGAAGAATATACACCTAGAATATCAAGATCAGGCTTTCATAACAATTTAACTTAAGAATTGATTCTTTTCAAAGTTGGGCAGTTTTAAAAACATTACTGTCAGTACAATCATTTTGATTTAAAAATAGTGAAACAACGATAATAATACTTTGTATTGTTACCGAACCCGTCTTATACTCGGGCCAATTTTATTCAATAAAACAATTACTTTTTGTTGTGTGGCCCGCGTTTGAAACATGCAAATCATCATTATTTTGATTGAAAACAATTCCATGACTAATCGCTAAACAAAGCGCCCTATTAAAACTACTTAATATCGTTCCATCGCACCGATAAAATCTAATTAGTAGGCGACTACTAATTACGAAACTTTCACGTATACTTAAATCCGTTCGATTTTCCCATTTCTCTTAATTCTATACTAGTTTTCCGTTACCACTCGTTCAGGCCACCGGTGCATTTTTTCTCAAGTGTTGTAGCTGGTAATCGATTTTTCGAAGACAGCTTTTAGAGTTTCATGAAACTCTACCGAATGAGGTGCTAATTAACACGTCTGGACTCTAACCGGAAATCGATATGGGTATCCGGATGATATCCCAACTAACCGCAATGGACATAACTCGGGATTAAGGCCGACATTTGGCAGTCGGTTATGACGCCTAGAAATGTTAATATTGACTGCCATCGGAAGGATTAACGTCTCCACACTGCCCCCGACACGGCATAACAGTTCTTCTAATTGCACCGGAATTGTGGAGAGAGAGCTATATGCAAATCCGGTGTGGGATTAAAGGACACAGTCCGATTTATTTCTCTAGTTCTTCTAGAAAAACCGGTTTTGATTACTTATAGAAAAACCGGTTTGTCTGGAATTATAATTAGAATTTTTGAACATGTCACTCAAAGAGATGTGAGACAAATTGCTTTTTATCAGATTATATTTTTCGCAATTAACCCTCCATTCATCAAGAATTTTTATAACTCTGGTATGTATGTTAATTTTATTTTCTTGGAAGACCGCCTTTGATCTATAAAACGTAATTCGGTGATGTTCACGTAATCCCCTAAAAACGCGACATTAACTTTGATTAAGAAAAAGTTGGGGCACGTCCCTGCATTAATAAATCTTTTTGCGCGAGATTTAACTTTGGATAACCAACGTAAAATTTCTGATCTGCGAAATAATAACAACGGAATAAAATCCCTATTAGACTTTACGAGGTGTGAGCAATGATGATAAAAAGGGAAAAAAGGCATGAATCACAAGAAAGCCTCTTGTTTGTTCCGGGAATAGAAATGTCCACTGCAAAATGATCTTCCTAGGATTTACTCAAGTAGTAGTAGTAGTTTTCCCTTAGTTGAATCTATGAATCATCGTGCTATCATGACCAGTGGTCCTCTTGCACACAGTTCTGCGATAAATCGTCAAATTAAGAGCTCTAATTTACTCTTCTCTACAGTAAATAGTCGAAAATTAGCCAATTGAAAATTCACCCCTGTGACAATAGAATCGTTTAAAAATCGACCCCTCAGAATGACTGCTTCTAATTAATAGCCTCTTCACACTAATCGATACATAATCACCCCATTGACCCTCAACCGATAAACCCAGGTTTTGATGTCTACTCATGCGATTAAACCGGACGTGTGCACGAAGACTTTTTATTCATTGCGTTCAGGTGAGCCTTTTTCTAGTTTTTTTTTAACGAACAAGCTAATGCATCAAGTTGACTGTGCCAGAGGACAGTCCTGGAAATGTTCGAAACGCCCCTCGGCGGAGCAGCCAATTTGAAACAATGGACGCGTTTTCCGGGTATGCCCACGCTTTTATGCCTGTATCGATACCAAATGACGTAAATTTTCCAAAAATATTTATATCAGATGCACCCTCTGTGACAGTTGTGCGAGCAATTTTAAGAGTCTTGGGGCTTTTTTCTGGATGAGGGCTTGCGTCTACCGGAAGTGAGAGTGCAATTAACATGAGAGTCTGAGGCACGTGCTAGACTTCACAATGTTTGTCGTGAAGTCTCTCTCGCAATTTGATCAAACACAACCCGCATGCTTGGGAATAAGTAACACGAATTGAGTTTATCAAAAGGGCCGATAAGATCCTAATACAAAGCATAAATCGTTTACCTGTGTTGCCCGCACATTTTTTTCTCGAAGTGGAAATGAATAAAACGGTCGTTTCGCTGCAATGCACGTTTGTACTAGAGAAAACTAGGCGAGGGTGTAAAATCGAACGAGATTCAAGGGGCTGAGTAAATCAAAGTTTTCATTTCATTGAAAAAATTTTCGACCGGTCCAATACATCAAAATGTAATTAATTTAATGTATCAGAAAATAAAATCCTCAGGTGTATAGCATTACGTTATTTTTTAAAGCAAAGGCTCTAAAATGACAGCTGGAAACCAATTCCGTTGTGGGATTATCGTCTACAAGAAAAATCTGGCACCTAACAGGCCAATATTTTTTCCTGGCTATTACCCACCGGTCTGCGGCAGGAATAATTATTTGCTGGTTTCCCTTTCGCTTCTCGGCCTGTTATAAATCTCCCTTCAGCCGCAACGGCCGCTAACACAACCCATATGTCCGCTACCTTCACTATAAATCGCGTTAGATTTAAAAATATAATAAACAATTTTTACAGACTAAGAGGTATCCCGTGAGAATCTGCACGGCTCGTTAAATAACTAGATATATTCTAAGTTGTTAATATATCTGAGCGGCACATTTATTTCAACAAAATACGACCCGGCAGCGGCGTAACATAAATTCTCTAAACCAGTTGATTTGAACGAGCCGCCGCCACTGCCTTAGGTTGGGCACATGTGGCGGATCTGCCCGTGAGGGGTGCCATAGATGAGGCCATTATGCGACGTGGGGTCCGATGGGTCAAAGGTCAACTATCACTCCACGGGGTGCAATATTGGACTTACCGTAAAATTGATCGAGACGACAAAAATTAAAATGGCGCCTCTATTTGAGCAATAATGGAAAAGTCGTTTTGCATTTCTTATTGGTATTGGCAATTCCGATTCCAATGAGAAACTTGGAGTCTTGTTGGAATTGTTGTTTTAGAGTTTGTGTCGTGTTATGGAAGAACATAAGAAAAAGTGAAAAAGTGCTATTAAACACAAAAGAAACAAAACGACTGAAACCTATTAGTTGTTGTTAGAAACGAACACGTTTTGCAATTTGTATCCTTCGAAACGTTCTCGAAAAATATCCTTGTAATCTGTCCTCATGACATCGGAAGAAAAGGAAAAACAAAAAGTAAATGAACCAACGTGAACTGTGATCTTACCCGACTTTCAAATACAAATGATCTAAACACTTGTCCGGGTCTTTACACTAAACGGGTTAATTCTTTTCATTATTTCACGCTAGCTAAATTTAAATCGGAGCTAACGAACCTAGAAATTGGCCCTTTTGAACGCGTTATTATCAATTCTATACTGTCGCACCATCGATTTTACGTGAAACGGAACTTGTGGCCATTACAATCCGATAATTAAATTATTTTAGCCATTTTTATTCCGCCAGTGGCCAGATTTATGGATCCCCATATGAAAATCGCAAATCCTACCGATTCATCTATCATTTGCGCTTTGCTCAAAAGCCAGTTTTTGTTAAAAATTTAATAAAAATTAACGTGATGTGTTTAAGATATTGGAGGAAAATAATCGAAAAACGAAACATTTTTATTTGAAAAAAAAAAACAATCAATTTTAACACAACAGACACGCCTCGTTGCCTGCAGCGACCCGAGAAATGAAACAAACTCCTAGAGTGAGTGGAAACCGAAAATAAAAACCTGGCGCCAATGGGAATCGATAGGTGAATAACAAAAAGTAAAACGTGACATCGATGCCGTGAGCTACGCACCTGTTTTGAAACGCCTGGCTATTTATTTGTGCTATTTGCAACGTGTGTGACAAAGAAACAAAAAATTTAATTTATTTGTTTATTTGAAAGGAATCGGAATTTAGTTTTTGTTTACGAATCCGTTGAAAGCAACAACAAATCTTGTCGAATCCTCAATGTTCAAGTATTGGATAAACGGATTAACATCTTCATGCCCGTGTTAAATTAAAAAATGAATAAGATTTATTTTAAAACAAAGTCGCTAGAAATTTTGGATAAATACTAAAAAAAGCTAAATACTAAATGCTCAATTTTCTACTAATGTTTTGATTGTTGTATCTATTTTTGACTAAGTTTGTTTTACAGTTATTGTCGAACTTTTGTTTGAAAGAAAAAAGAAGTGCACACAAAATCGTAGCTTTTATTTGCGTTTTTTAAGTGCTCAAATAGGTAAAAGTAATAAATATGTTGTTTGCTGAAACCGTGCAATAGAAAACAAATAAGTTAATTTACAAAGTTGGGTCTTTGTAGAGCCTCATAGTTCAGGTAACGCTTTTATTGCCATTTAATTATGATGTGTCTACAAGTATACTTTCCAGAGCGTCGGTTTACCCTCACAATGCCTTCCAACTTTAATTACTTTGTTTCTGTTGAGATTAATTTAATTTTCGCCCGCTATTTACTCACCAAATTTCGTTCGAAATCCGCAAATTTTATCAGATTTCCAAGCAACAAACCCGTTAGTTGTGACGTTATCCTTTAGTGTCACGACTAAAAACCGGAGCTTTCATAGAAAATATTTACTCGTTGAAAGCCAAAACTTACAATTCTGCATTTAAATTTCAAATTCCGGAGCTTAGAGGCTGTCATTCCCGACCGAAGGGCTTAGCTTGTTTTAGTTTTCCCCGTAGTCCTAGGACAATGTCTCGTGCGCGTCCCTTGACAGCGCCGGGAGATAAATGACACAACAAAAGGATTGTGAAGAGTATGATGAGTGGCCACCACACACGTGCTTGTACAAACTCTCGCTTAATTCGCATCGTGTCGTGCAAGCCAGTGCAGGCCTTTTATAGGAGATGACGGCGACTTCCTCCATGTTTGACAGGCGAATTGTCCACACTGTCAGGATTATTTTCTGCATTTGCATAGCAGTTGGTAGTCGCTGACCCGCGACTTATACACTGTTACCATTGAGCCTGTTTACACCTTTCTATAAATACAACCGGATAAATATATTAAGTCCGTTTTATATTCACTCAACTACGTGCTGAATCGTAAATCTCTCTGTCATAATAAAATGGATAATGCGATTTTAACGCCGGTCAAATTGTGAAGGATGGACTGAAAACTAGCTGCCGCCGGCACAAGATCAAACCGGAGCTGTGCCATTTCATGAGATGTTATGCTTGTTTGGCTCTTCCAATATCCTGCCAGAGCTAAAGCTACTCAACACCTACTTTCAAGATTATTAATACATTTCCACAAAAATTGAGAAAATATCACCTTTTTACATCAAACTCGGTTAGAAAAAATATACAACTAAAAACCAAATCAAATTTTTCGTAGTATAATACTGCTATTTATTCGAACGATTGCAGAAATTCACTTTTACAATAACTGCTATTAGTAATTGAATCATTGTGGAAAAGTTTTACAACAGATTAGAACATTTTCATTTAAGAAACAAAATCTTCAAACTTTATCGAAATGTTAACTATTATCGAAACCTTAAATGATTTTATACAAATGGCATTTTCTTTTTTTTACAAAGTTTTTGCACCATAAGCTTTTTATTTACAAACACATTTGTTGTTAAATCAACGGTTCATAATAACACATAATAAGCAGAATTCTTCAAAAAAGTTTTAATTTTACAAAAATGAAAAGTTAAAAACAGTTATGAAACCATTAACTCTTGGTGTTTTTGTGAGAAATTCTAATCCTTTGTCTTGTTTTGCTGGATTTCACTCTCCGATACCTTAGCGATTACATTTGTATTAGCCCGAAATTAATTTATTAGAGCACTCGGGTCAGACACAAAAACACTTTCTTAATTAAACTAAGTTGTTCCGGTGGTAAATCGCGGCACAAAGCGCAATTAACAAACCCACCACTGCTCTCCGGTACATAAGATCCTTAGCGAGACGTCAAGCCCAGGCTTCTATGTCACTTCTTCTCCCGTCACTCGAAGAAGTCACGGATTTTTCCCCCTTTTACAACAATAGACGTTTATATTTAGAAGTTTCCAAGTCGACATCGTCGTTTTTCAATAGACAGTTTCTCTTCCACCTGAAACCAATTATCTCCTCACAAGGCGCTTCCTATTGTCCCACCCCTCGAAAACAAATTTTCGCCCTGTAAATTTTTAGTTTCCGTCAAACGTTCAAAGTATGTCGGTCCTCAATACGGGGGAGCAAAGCGGCTCACGACCTTATGAGTAGCTGTGACAGTGCACGGCGGCATTTCCGCCGGAATTCCCGACATTCCCGCCAACCTCGCTAATTGCCGCCCCCTAAACGAGCCACCCTTCAGCCTTCAGACCCCATATGTGTCAGCTCGAATTTCTAATTTTTGATGTGGATCAGATTTGAGGTTATTTATGGGACTTTCGTGGGTAATTATTTTGGAATTATTCCAGGGATCAATTTTTTAGTTTTTAATTGCACGGGCGCGCAGATGAGACCAGCATCAAAAATGTTTTAAATACGTTTTGATGTAAGTGTGATAATCCCTCCAAACACCCGCATTTCCGCCTTCAGGCGATTTTTTATGTAATTAACTCAAGTCGCCGGGAATGGCGTGACAACGAGGTACGAACATTTAAGCTTTTGACACCTACTAATTATGTGTATTTATTGGACATAAGGTTACAACGTAAACAAGTGGGTTTGCTTGTGAACTTTGTAACCATTATTAATGACAGACGAATGCAACAGCTTTTCCATGTCTATGGGTCATTAATAAAAACTTCTTACGAAGTGAATTACTACAAATTATAAAATTAGACGTTTAAAACCGCTATTTTTCTTTGTAGTTGAGATTAGATTAAATCGACATGTCAGCACAATGTAATCAATTCTCATTTGAAACGGAAACACAGGTATAACCTCCAGGTCATCTGTTTTATGTGACACGATAAAGAAAAGTTTACTATGAAATGAAACGTGACAGGTATCGATTAGAAGTTTTCAGGTATTGTTCACTAACCCGCCGCATCCACCATTTTTTATCATTGAAGATGACAAACTGACTTTGTTTACATCTCTCATTTATTTTGTGCGTATATTTTGGCCATAAATTTTAAAATTTGCCGGTCTATGTACCAGTTTTGCAAATTTACCTGTTCCAACCATGATTTATTATTATTTTGAAAGCTATATTTTGTTCAGTGGACTGGGATTAAAATATTTATATTCTGAAATAAATTGATGGACAATTTTAGTCTCACTTGTTGATGTGTATTTCGATTTTTATTCCATTTTTAATTGAATACAATCGAAGCAACTTTTACTAAAGAGATAAATTTGTATATCGGACAAACAAATTTGTTTAATAAAAGTAATAATAAAAAATATACTAGTTACTTAAATAAATGTTTGGATAATCTATTCTAGGAAGCCATGAGGAGCATTTTTATTGCAGATAAAAAGAAGTATTAAATTACTTGTAAGAAATAAATGTCTATCCCGGCGCCTCCACCATTTTTGTAGTAGCGTGCAATTCGTATGTAGATTATTGTGTACTGGAATCCAAACGATGGAAAATTCCGGATAGAGGCAACCTGTTCCTTCAGAACCTTTGCCATGAAAAGAGCTGGAGGTCTGAAACTCTCCGTATTTACACATAAATATCTCAATCGAATTTCTCGGCGCTCAATCCGTGTTTAGATTCAAGTTAGCAAGTAGACCGGAGGGTTTATATTACTTCCGGTTGACCGCACGGAATTGCACAGTGCAAATAAATGAAACTGTTCCTGAATATAGTGAGTTAGCTAAAGGGTTGCGCCTTACAGGTTAACTAATAGCTACGTTTGCGCTCCGGTGATGACATACAGTTTCGAGGATGCGTAATTTAAAGGGCTACAATCTCGGCTTTAAGTACACACGAACTTCACGGTTATTACGGCAAGTTTGTTCGTGATTCAATTTGGGAGCCACTTGGGGAGTTGATAATTCAATGAAAAATGGAGCTTTTAATGGCTAAGTAGTGCAAGACGGGATCGGTCAGCGTGCGAAGCGATTTTATATGCGGAACGAGTTCGGTACATAAAACTCGCTCCTTAACCCTTCGGTCACGTAATGAACATTTCCGAAATTTCGTATTCAATTCCGATATCCAGCCGGATTTCGCGCCGCGGTATTGCCTCGCACAGACGTTCAATGTATCTCCTTTGATAGGACCGTTTCTTTTGACAAACGCTCTAACCCTAACTTTTGCACCATTTGAGCTCCAGGCGATTACAAGCGCCGGTTTTTAATTTGCTACAAGCACAACTCAGAGCTTCAATGACTCGCAAAGCTCAGTAATTCAGAATTGAAAGAATAAATTGAATGTTTGAAACCAACGAGTGTTTGTGTGTAAAATGCAAAGCGATAAAATTCACTTTTGAAACAACAAGTTTTTAGACAATCATTTTTTTCAACTGGGTTTTTGTAATTTTATTATTTTGCCAAGCTATAACTGAGCTGTTTTTATTACGTTACAAGTAATTTTTCTTGGTTATTAGCCTCTCCCTCGGCGTTCGCATTTGCGCCTAAATTCCATCTTTTCGTTCATCACTTTATGGCGCGGAAGTTTCGTTTTAAGTAAGCTTCCGAATTTCTCCATTAATAACCACCATCCCTCTCTGTAATGCAAAGCAAACCATCGGCATCGGATATCCATTATCGGGTAATAAACATGAATTCTGAAGGCCTTTGTGGCAACACACGACATCAAAGTGCCCTTCTACAGTCATCATTCAGCCGATTTTCTTTAGGCATTTGGGACTGGACGTCGCAGGAAAATTAGCAATGCAGCAGTTTTGAATAAGCGCGACAAATAAGAGTCTTAGTCCCCTAGTCGTGCCATAAAACGTAATTCACGTCTTCTAACCACACAATCTCGATCTTGCTGCATAAATCCCGTGAATCACTTTAACAGCTGCTCTATAATAAGCCGCAGCGGGGTTCCTGCTGCTCCGTAGATCAATCCGTGCGATCGATCTTATTGTCTATTTCGCGGAATATGTTGGCAAAAATGCCACGACGCGTAGTTTATAGCTTTTTACCAATCTCATTAGCATGAAGCGTGGGTTCAATTCAATCAATGTTCGTGTTGCTGGAACATTTTTTACGTTTTAATAAATTCCGGAAATCATTTTTTAACATCGCGAGTAATTGATGTAACGATTATTGTTATAATCTGCCGGCTGAAACGGTATTTATTTTCAGCAAACAATGCCGCTGAAAATAGTATTTCGTCGGTAATGCGAGAAGCTGTCAGCAACTATAGTTTTATTGGTCACAAGGACTAAACTTATTGTTATTTTCTTCGGGTTATTTTCGGGATTGAAATGTCGGGTTACGCTTCAACTTTCAACAGTTCCGTTACTTTTATCTAAAAATAATAACGAAATATTTATGACGGTAATACATTGGGTTTATGATTTATTTTGGCTTACGATGTCTCCTGAAATAACAGTTGTTGTGATTTTTGTGCAACATTTAATGAAGAATCCTTTAACGCTTGTTCGTTTTAAAAACTGTATACAACAAACTACAAAATTTTGGTTTAGATTTACTGAAACTAAAGTCACTGAATTAAAAATAGGTCACAGCTGTCAGTTTCAGCGATTGTTTTGTAGACTAATTATGAAAAATTGTTAAATATTTTTATTCTGTTTTTATAGGAAACAGATGGTACCTAGTTTTGGCTTCACAACTGGCAACAATTAATACTTGTCTCAATTCTCATATTAGTCTTTATTTTCCCGTCATAATCATGCTGTATCAATAATAAAACCCACAAAAATAAATACTTATTTTTAAATTTGAGCTGTTTTTTGCTCCAAACATTGACTGAAATTAATTAAACACAATTTTAGGTACTACGTATTTTAGAATAATGTTATAATAATGTGTACATTAAAAATTAAATAATGGGTGAACATTATTATAGTCAAAGTAAGTAACTGAAAAATGCTTTTTTTATTCCTAGATTGGTGATTTTTTATCTGTTTGTACCTAGAGTAATGAGTATACAGCCTGTCCCAAGTTTTAGGCCCGGCTCAAAAATAAATATTTCTAATTGATTAAAATAAACTTTTACTAGTGCAAACAATAGAGGATTATATAGACTTCAATTTGGTTTTTATGATCTCATTGCCATACATTAAAAATTTTGAACAACATTAAAGCACTAAAGGAAAGTCTGTATAATCCTCTATTGTTTGCACTAGCAAAAGTTTATTTTAATCAATTAGAAATATTTATTTTTGGACCGACGCGGCCCTAAAACTTGGGACACGCTGTAGAGTAAAAATTGAACCAAAAAGGAAAGCAATAACAACGGGGTGATATTAGTAAGAGTAATTAATTATTTTGCAGAGGGTAGAGATTTCAATGAAATTAACCGAAGTAAAAAGACGAATGAATAAAATAGCACGTTTGCGTTTAAATATTTTACGAGTTTGGAAACGCATTTAAATTCTTTAAGCACAAACAGAACCAACAGGCTCCATAATTGAGTTAAGTTAAACTGTCCTCATTTCGAAATAACCGCTCCTTAGATCGATTAAAAATATATTAAAAAGGATAAAACCGCTTTATTTCCCGATTAATTAAAAACGCGTTGTCGCAATGACGACTTCCTCTCAGCAATCCTCGAGATCATTAATTAAGTGAGCATCTGTTTTTCAGCACTTTGCTTGTAAATTGGGAGCTTTGAAGAACCCTAGTCGGTGTTTTGCTGACCTGAAACTCGCCGATGTAATGCGTTTAACTTGTACTTGGATAGAGTTTAACGGATATTTGTTTAGTGTTAGAGTTTATTAGGTCAACCTTTGCTTCCATTAATTATGCCACGGCCGGATGGAAATTGTTCCACCTGTTAATTATTATAATCGATTGTTTCAGCAAACTTGGAGAACACCAAAAACGACATCGCCATCTACATCGGCGTGACCGTCGCCGTTTTCTTCGTCTCGATGCTGTCCTTCTTCCTCACCCGCATGTACTGGAAGAAGAACCGCCACCAAAGCTTGTACAACATGGCCTCTAATGGTAAGATTGTATCAGATATGTTTTTATCAGCACCGTACATGTTTGCGGGTCACAGCACGTACAAAAGCAAATAACTCGATTGACCTTTTTCCGCTCTCGAGAAATAAGAAAACAGATGAAAACCAAATAAAGAAGGGAAATCAAATACGAAACCTATGTTTACGTTATCGACTCACACAAGAGACGTCTACCTTATACGACAAAATATACCTACTTCAGTTCACCACCTAATGCCATTTAAATTAATTAACTAACATGGTCAATGTAAAATAAATTAAATATTTATTTCAACCAAATAAAAGTCCAAAACTGAAAATTCTAAGATAGCGTTGTTTCAAAAGCAAGAAGTAAAAATGAGAAATAAAAAGATTTACTTATTTAAAAAATATATGGGTAATTGAAAGAAATTAGAATCATAAAAAAAAATATTCTAATAAACTTGAGAAATCTACAAATGAACTAATAATAATTTGGATGGTATACCACCACTGCTTTTGTCAATATGCACCATTGCCATTTTTTCTTGATCCAGTCTGAAGTTATAAATATGTTACAAATCATTCAGTGAATAGAAGTGCTGAGAAAATGCCGCTCACATTTCATCGAATCATAATAATTTGATTGATAGCGAATTGTTGAGACTGACATGGAGCCGTTTTTCTGTCAAATGCCTTTAAATTGAATTCGTTAGAAGCGGTTGAAAGTCGAATTGTGCACATGTGGTTTTAATTTAGTACGTTGTTAAAACCGTCGTTAAAGTTCGAGTATTTCTCTAATTGACCATCGACTTAGTCATAATATTCTTTTTTAATTGAGTCTGTTTGCATAKGCATGCTCTCCTGTTGTTATTTATTATTGAATCATTTACACAGCTCGTTGATTATTTATAGGGTTATCCGGTATCGGGCAGATGTGAATTTTCATTGTAAAAAGCTAGTTTTGGAGCCACATGGTCTTCATTATCTGTCAAAAAATTACAAAATGATGAAATATTGCTTCTCTGGGGGGCACATCACTTAATTTTCTCGAGATTTTTATAATTCGTTCCGACAGAACGAGGAATGTGAAACAAATGTGTTGGTTAAAAATGAAAACAAAAAGAAAAAGACTGTAAATCAGGCTCGATCTAGAATTTCCGTTAATTAGAAGCGAGGAAATTCGGCACTAATGATCCTCGAATTAATTACAAGGTTTAATTTTAGCGTCTGAAACCGAAGTCTAATTTTATATTTGAGAGACATGACGGTTGGTTGGCAATTATGGTAATTATTTGCCGTTCTGGTAACACACAAAGCTCACACACAGCCTTATTAACTCAGTTCGATTTAGCTTATTTAAACAATTTGGGACTTACCGCCGAATTACTCCTCTTCAAACGAGAAAGACATTAAACACCAGTTGGAATTACTGAGTACMTCTCGCTTTTGTATCATTAATAACGGGCACAAAAGCCATTATGATGAATGAAGTCGGAATAGAATAAGTCATCGGACTTACACAATTTATCATCGGAGAATGCACCAATTTTGCAACGTCGTTAACTCTATGAAAATACACAACAAATTGACAAAATCTTAAAAGGTAAAACTRAAGAAAGACTAAAATTGTTCTAGAGTTACAATTTRGACATCTTTAAGATTAACGATGTTTTCAAATCGTCGATTTTACGACTGCTGCTCGAAGAGAGTGCTCACGTGTTTCTTGAAATGTCACTACTCATTCAAAACAAACATGGGCAACACTTAATGGCTTATTTTACCATGAAGCATGAAACCCAAAATAGCTATTGAAGCTGCCGACTGCGGCGGGATTGCTACTTTTATGTGTGGGAAACAGAAACAATCGTTGCGATTGGCAGGAAATTAAGTAGCTTTAGTAAGGATTAAACCAAATGTGACTATTTTAAGATAAAAAAATTTGTAAAATTTTTGGAAACGCTGACCATATCAAAGATTGTAGAACTTGTTCAGATACTTAGCTAACTACCTTTTTGAAATTAGAATTTATAGAACAAATATTTTTCTGTTGGATTATTATATTTTAAATTTAAAACATGATTTTATTTTCGCACTTCCCTTCAATGGCTTTATTTTGTTTTTTTTGTTTTTAATTKTTTTATTCTTTAGCAAATGTGCACCACATTTTATTCTGACRTAAAACATTTTTTTTGTCAATTTTGTTTGAAAAACGAACCTTTTGGACGAAAAATATGTAGCTAATAGGTAAGCATGAAAAATTGTAACACCAATGTGGCTACATATATTGGTAAAAAGCTCTATAAAAGTTTACCGCTTCTATAAAATAAGACTGCGATGGAATTCAGTTTGGCGCATGTACTTAATAAAACCTACGCCGGCAATTTTCACTTAAGAAAGCTCATCTTAAAGCCACTCATTTATGATTATCGTCTCACTAAAGTACGCAATAAACTCAACACAAAGTAACGCGTTTTAAAATCTGTAATTTAATGGAGTTTTTTTCCGAAAAAAGTACTTTACAACTCGCGATCGTCTTATTAAAGTCGTAAATGTTTCAGATTACCATCCTGAATTTTTCCCAGAGCAAGATAAGAAGTCATTAAGTCTCCAGCCAGATTTGACTCAGACCGTCCCGCCTTGTTACGAATACCCTTACACGACACCAGCGACATCTGTGACACGATCCGTCTCGGAGCATCACTACGACGTGCCCCATCTTACTTCCGGGAGTGATATTCAAATGTCTCCAGCGACGAGCTCTACCCTGGAGTCATCTAGCGGCAAACGGAGCCAATTGAGCGGCTTTACTAATAATTGTAAGTAATCTAACCGGTCAAATTTAGTTCATGACTGTGATTTTTTCAGCCGATTCCACCTATGAAGTGGCTACAGAATCAGTCACTTTACCTCTCCCCGCAGCTTACGCTGTCACACCAACCACTTCCGGTAACTACACTAGCGCAACGGTGACGCACAGCGGAGCTTTTTTGAATCTTCTCGAGTCTGGAGTGAGCTTAGTCGTGCCAGAGGGCGCCATCTCACGCACCAAGAAGCAGGAACTTTTCTTGTCGATTCTCAACGAAGATTGTTTCCGACCTAAACTTGCCGAAAACTTGACTCAACTCAGTCCTGTCGTTTCCTGTGGTCCTAATATTTCCTTGAATAAGTCTGTAGTACTTAGAATTCCGCATTGTGCCGAGTTGAGTCGAAACAATTGGTCTATTTCGGTGTTACAGAGCGACTGTAGCGATTCACAGTGGCAGAACGCCGTAACTTTGGGCCAAGAAACGATAAATACGTCTGTTTTTTGTCAATTGGACAAAGATGCAGGTTATTTGGTCACCGATTGTTTGTCACGATTTGTGATTGTTGGTCAGTCGACCAATGGCATGGCTTTGAAAAGACTCAAATTGGCCGTTTTTGCGCCCAAATTGTGTTTTCAGAGTTCGGTCGATTATAGCATCAGGGTTTACGTTTTAGAAGACACTGATAGTTCAATGGAGACTGTTTTTGGGCAGGAGAAACGTCTCGGAGGGTATTTATTAGGCGAACCTCGGTCAATAGTGTTCCAAGATGGCGGAAGCAACCTTTGTTTGACTTTAGACAACTTAAGTGAGGGATGGAAAACCAAACCATGTTCCAATTATCAAGAGATTCCCTTTAGACATTTGTGGCAAGCCAGTAGTAACAGTTTGCACTGTTCGTTTACTTTGGAATCGTATGAAATCTCCCGATGTTTAAATTTTAAAATTCGMGTGAACCAGAAAGGTTTCGAGTATCACCAAACATTTGACATCACTTGTAAAGACGACAGTGATATCTCAATCAGTAAAACCAGCTCTGGTAAAGTAGTGCCAAAAATAACGATCCAGAGCGAGACCAACCGAAACGATACGAAAAAGATGATCGATTTCGGACATTCCCCTAAAAGTGCCAAATTCAAAGAAGAGGTCAAAATGACCAAAAACTTGATAGTGACTGATAGGGGTGTATCTACATGTGATGACTTTAATTTTAGATTAAGTAGGCAGCTTAGGAAGCAGCTTTGTCAATGTTTAGATCCTCCGACGCCGAGAGGCAATGACTGGAGAATGCTGGCACATGCTTTAAGTGTTGATAGGTATATTAACTTTTTCGCAACGAAACCGTCACCTACTGACTGTATCCTGGACCTCTGGGAAGCCAGGAATAGACAAAGCAACGCCTTGACCGAGCTTAAACAGATTTTTAGCGATATGGAACGATTCGATGCTGTGAACATTTTAGATAATTGCTTGGGACCTAATTGGTTGTAAATATTCCACTGATGCATTTATCTACAAGACCAGATGATTCGTTTTATTATTCCTTGATTCAAAGCTTTTTTGTATTTTTTTCGTGGTTGATGAATTTTTAGATTTATCAGAAATGAAAATTATTTTATAAGTTGTTGAATATGTGAATGTTGTCTTGGAGACATAAAATGGACCACGTTCCAAGAATAAAATTGTGCAATTTGCGTAGATATTTCTGCTAAAAATAGTCAAACGAATATTTTCAACACGTTTTCTAATTATTATAGAGTGATATTATGAAATCTAATCATTACTTTTCACCACTGTATCCACTATTTAACCACACTGCCATTGTAATTGTATAATATATAATATTTTTTCTTTAATTTTTGTTGAAAATATTCGTTCACTCGTTACGTTTAAGCACCAGATAATCGAAATGTTAGTCTGTTGTAATCAAATTAAGTACGTAAAACTGAAAGACAGGAATAATTTGGAAAGAAACGATTTTAATGTAGAGTTTTATACAAAAGAATCAAAAGTAGTTTTCTAGATATTTTAGGATGTTTTGTACAAAGTAAATATTCATGTAATTAGAGGCAGGTCTACGTTGACATCTAGTACGTATTTTAGAATATATAATGATGTATATAGTCAATATATAACATTTTTAAAAAAATATGTGGCTATTTATAATACCTTTCCTCTTTCTCCATACGCAAATAACAAAAATAAATTTAGCTGAATCGAATGTAGCAAAACCTTATTTAAATTACTAAACAACCTGAAAATGCTAGTAATGATATCCACTATTTTATTTTATAAAAAAAAAATTATAAAAGAAAACTCATCCGTCATTCAATCTTTATGGTGATTTTTGATGTTTTAATAATCGAAACGACAACAAATTTGCTCTATACACTTGAAAACATTTGACGGGAAACTGTTTTAACTAATCTGAAAATAGTTTTCCATTTTGAGGTTTAACCGAGACACAAACCGCCAATTACAGTAGTGTAACTGTAGCTTCCACAGACCGTAGCTTCACTGTAAATGAATTCTGTATTTGATTCTATTTAGTACAAGCAGTAGAATTTAGGGGACGCTACAACTTCATTAAGCCTTTACATGTCCAAAAGTTCATTGCTTATATTTTATGTTCATTAATAAACAACAGATTGTTGTATTTACAAATTAATCACTGGATCAATGTTACGCAATTAAAAGCAATAATTTATATATGCTTTATTTTACCGTCCAATGACGATATGAGTATTACTACATACTATTTTTCCTCTGTTGCTTTAAACTAGTGTTAATATGTAATCTCCAAATGCATACAAATTTTATAAAAATTCAGATTTTGGAATGTTTTTATCTCGATTAAGAGATGATCTTCCTAAAGCATATACTATACATTTAAAATGGCATTGCATAGTATAATTTTTTGAGTATAGGAATACTACAATTTTTATTGAAGATATTGCATCCAAGTAGTGTAAGTCTGTATAATCAATAAATTCAAATACTTTGAGTTGAATATAGATTAATTTAAGAGTATTTTCCGCAGCCTTGTAATGGAAAGAAAAAACTATTTTGAAGCATTCCAGCCTTATAGATCATGTTCCACCCCGAGGCGTGTTCGCCAATATGACAGCTCATAAAGTAACTGGATGTCCATCTACTTGCGTAATAGGATTGCGATCGCCACCTTCGCTCTCCAACCCCCGGGGGACTCAATCCCAAATTCATACGTTTTACACTTTCCCGAACGACTCTTTCGTTATATCTCAAACAGATTTGTCAATGAGACAAACTTCTCTATATTTTACGATCAATTAAAAATGAAACCGTAAAATTGGCGACGAAATTTCGCTATCTAGTATTTTTCAAGAAACGTTGTTTGTCTGCGAGGTCGCCGAGAAAATCTCAACTTTAGAGAAAAGAGAAGTTATAAATTGTGGGGTGCAAGTCTGACTTAACTTGCGGTTGAAATCAACTTCAAGTTCGAGAGTAATTTATGGGTGACCGGGGGAGCCGCCATAATCACGAATGGCAAAAAAGATAACAGAATCGGATTTTCTTCAACGCCTCGCGGTTCAGTTTCAGTATGCTCGACACTATCGCCACCGGAAAGGAACACCAGATGGCTGTGAGCCAATAATGCAAAAAGACCAATCACGTAAGAATGCTTCTAAATTATAAATCATAAACGTCCTATTCTGATAAAGTAAGCTGAATTATTTTGCCGTATCTTGGCCGACATAAAAGTAACTGATTTTTAAGCCAAAATAACGTTTAACAATAATTTAAACACAAAATAATTAGTGTTTCTGTTTCGGTGTCACAATGAGAATTTTGTGTATGTATAGTGGTCACCAGGAATATTTGAGATTGACGTATGCAAAGCTTTATTGAGGATTAAGCAGCCTTGCGGTCGGCCGTAATAATTTTTCACTGCTGGTGGTACTACCCTGAAGATATAGAACAGAGCCGTATTCAGGAATTTTCGTGGTAGGCTTTTAATTCATTACAGGGAAACATTTAGGAATTTATATATTAATTTAGTATTAAAGTTATAATGCAGATTTGTAAAGAAACAATCTCAAAATATAGCTGAATATTAAAATTGATTAATTTTTTTTTGATGAAATCCCAAAAACAAATTTCTGTTACGGACCATCTCTTCCTACAAACCTTTGAAACGTGCCTGTCCAAAGAAATGCAAATTTGTTTATGGCATCTCTACCATATGAACCACCGTGGGGGGTAATCGTCTTATTCTATAATGAGTCTCAAATATTGTTGGTACCAACTATAACTGAAAACTGTTTTTTGACGACATTTTATGCAGTAATTTGGTCATCACTGGCCATAGACTGTCGTTTTTAAGTGAGAAATTATTGCAGTTCAACGTATTTCACCGAAACTAATGCAATTTAAGCTATTTAGCATAAAAACGCGTATCACAACCTCTCAATACTCGTACATTTGTAACACTTGTTTTTTAATATACCGTTTTATAATTACAACAAATTAATTAGTTTTTCTAACAAGGTAAAATGTAATGTAACATACAGATACATAAAAAAAAATTTTTTCATGGTGTAAACGTGTTTTATTAAAAATAGGTTAAAATATTTTGATAGCACTTAAAATTCAGCCGCTAAATTCATAATTTTTCTACCATTTTCCAGGTGAGCGACGATTCTGGCTTTCTCTACTTCACGGCATTGCATAGGTTGATATAAATTTGATTTCATTGATAGAAATATTTTTGATAGGTATTGTCAAATTGACAACTGACAACTAGAACCGAATTTACATTTGGAAAAATTGTATTTCCCGTTTTTTTTTTGAAGGTAGCTGTACCAAATTGATTTTGTAGATCAAAATACAAAAGAAGGAAATCTCAAGAGAGTTTTGGTTTTACTGAAATCAACTTTAGGTAATTAAAATATGCATTTGAMAAATTACCTGAACTTAAAGATTTATTGCAGGAAAATACAAATGCAAAAATACAAATACAAATATTACAAAACTTTAAGCCTTATTACTTCAATTTTTATAATATTAGAGATTCAGTTGTTTACCATAAAGATATAGACTTATAATAGTATAATTTTTTATTCTTTGTGAAAATTATTAGCACACGGCCTGCSGGATAATAATTTGTTCGGGCCMAGCCAAKACAGTTTYGTCCATATTCTGAGGGTTGGCTATATGCTCGCTGACGTCATTTATTGAGTGTTATTTAAAAAGTATAGACAGACCTCTCCACGCAGTTCGCTTTAGAACGAAAATCGGTTAAATCAGCTTAGCGACCCTCTACGTAATCAAATATTATATATCGCTCTTTTGACATTTTCCACATAGTTTTCAAAATTGTATTTCGTTTATCAGCTTTCCCGAGTGATAATCTAGTTGGCTACGAAAAATATCTCTTGTTCCCAGGAGCTTCGCCAACCCAATTATATCACTTTTATCTTAAAACACCCTTCAGAGAGCGGCGCTTTTTTATTTTCTGATAACCAATTAGATATGGACGTTTTATTTTAATTCGATATGTCACTATATACGATTATTTTTACAAAAAAAAAGAACACTCCTACCAGTTTGATAACAGAAAGAACAAGATTTTGGTTAAAATGAAGATAAAATTGGCATTTTCTCGCTTAGTGGAAACTGTCCCTTCTGGACCCCTGTTCACAAAGTAATCGTGATGGTCTGTAGAATAATAAATGAGCGTTCGACACATTCTGCGGTAAGTTGAGTGGACAGGGCCAGATCTTGTTCTACTCAAACTGAATACTAATGTAATCAGGTAAGCTAGACATCGACGCTACGCTAGACTTGTTTCCCGACAATAAAGTAGCGAAAAATCCAACATAAATAAACAAATCAAGAGTGAAAGTGGATGCCTTTTGTAAYATAGCGTCGATATAAGTTCCAATTCGCATACGTCATCTAAGATGGCGTCTTCGTCTGCGACATTACGATTTGCATAGAGCGTCGTTTTATGCTAATGTTTCTGATTTATGGTTATTTTTATTTGATTCTCGGAATTATTATATGGACTGTATCCGTATGGATGAAAATCATATTTTATACGCTAAGGAGAAGCTTTCTGCGGACCAAATCGATTCCGGAGTGAGAATTATTTTTCTTGCCAGCTTTTTATTGCCTTTTTATATGTTTGTATGTTTTGTTATGTTTCTGTTTGTAAATGTTTTTTCTCCCGGATACAACGATTTTGACACTGGGGTATGAGACGACATTTAACTGGCAATTAATTTGATTAGCACTTTTTCGGAGAGATTAGAGCCAATAAATAGAGTTATGGCTTTGAAGCAAAATTAATGAAACATTTTTGGTTGTTTTGGTTGCAATAAAAGTATTGCACTTAATAAAATAATTATACCGTGCTATCAAAAAAAAAATTAGAGTAGGCAGTGATGAAAGTCCTTCAGATGGCAGTCCTGATTTTTTACATCAAATGTCAGCGAAACGTTTATTCATTTTGAGTGAAATAATGTTCACTTTAGAGCAGACAATTTTTATTGTTGAAGTTATTACAAAAATACTGTACAAGACGAAAACGGTGAATGGTCACTTTCAGTTTGTGTGAAAAATTTCCAGTCCAGATTCCCAGCCAATGTGTTACCAACTGTAGAATATTAATCGTGGCCTACYCAAATTAATTTTTTTTGATCGCATGGTATTTGTACCGTTGCCTTTACTTTGTTAATTATTTCTTTGTATATTTCTTCCATTTTGGTTCTATCTTCTTCTCTCTCAGATATTTCCACAATTTTTGTTTAACTTGTCGAACGCGATTTTTAAATCCCACGTCCAACTAAATTTTTTCTTCCCGATTTTTAGACCAACTATCGAATGGAGTTAAAAGATTTGAAAATAAAAAATAAAAATAAAAAATAATTACAGTTTTTTTTTCAAGCTTTAGTTTCGCTTTTTTATTGATCGGAGTTCTTATTCGTACTCTCCATTGCTTTGTAAATCTTCTGCCTTTCCATATTTGTCTATTATTTTTATGATACTGTTTACCACATTCTCCTCTGCATGTCTCTCTTCAATTTAATAAAAATCTTATTTTCGTAATTCTTTTATAATCGCAGGTCAGGTTCTCGATTTCAATTTTTTTTCCGATGACGT